AGTAGTAGTAGTAGTAGTAGTCTGGGACCCGCCTGACAGAGAACAGAACCAAAGGCAGAAACACCCAAAGAAGTCCTTCAAGAAGGCTGTCCTATTCCCAAAGACTGCTTAAAGAGATCAGAAGAAAACTGCCTCAGAGTTCAGGCTGCGTTGAAGAATAAATGTAGTCGTACCTGATTTTAATTCAAGCTTGTTAAACTCTGTGTTGCCTTATATACTATATTTACATGTATATTTTCACATTTTTCGATAAATCTGTGCATCTATTCCCAATTTTTCTATCAACGTATAAAGAGAGTGGTGGCTCAAGACTTTTGCATATTACTAGATAAAACAGCGTAGAATAGAATTAGATTACACAGATTAGTCAAATGTCGAAATCCAGGTGAATACATGTGAATTCTCTTCATAGCTGTAGGTCAACAATGAATCATAAAACTCACAATGATTTAGCTTTTGTGAGCACTTTTTTCATTCAAGTGTGCAGCCACTCCACTGTGCAGCAATCGTGTGTGTGTGTCTGCGATAGGAAGCATTACAGGAGCACACACACACACACGAGCTGATTAAGCACACACACTCTGGTTCACCCCCTCTTAAAAGGAAGTAGTCATAGCTGCATAGGTCAGAGGTTGCTTCTCTGAGGGCCCATGAGGATGTAGTAGTCCATGCATCACGGACCGAAAGGATCTCTTTTCTCACCAAGCCACCAGGAAATGTGGTTCTCCTCTCCCCCAGGGCTTCAGCATACTCAGAGGTGGAAGAGGAGAATAGAAGTGCAGCTGTTAAACAGCACTGCATTACGCTGAATCCTTCCTTTTTATTCTGCCGACTTGTGCACACAGACACTGACAGAGACTCTTCTGCATATAGGTTAGCAATAACTGGCTGTTGGTCATCTGGAATGTAACATATGTTGCGAGCCTACTGTTGACTTACAGAAGCCCAGTTGCCATCTTTTTTTCTTTAGACCGTTGAGGTAATCACTGGCTGCTCTAAGTTTGTGAAAACATTTCATGTCTCAGCCAAGAGGCTTCTTCAGTTCTAAAAACAAAAGCTGGATAGTCACAGGTGTGGAGAGGTGGTGCGAGTCGTCACATTAGCCATGGGTTGTTACCATCACCTATCATGTGACCTACTGAGGTCACCTGAAGCACTTCAGGAGGGATCTCAAGATTATTGTAGAGTCTTTACCTTACAGTAGAGGACCCAATTTCAGGCAAGCTTTAGTTGTCAGACCGATGCTTCATATTTGACTCTAGAATACTTTTAGATGTATTTTATGAATACCTGTACAGGATTAAACTTAAAACTAGGAGAATCTCGACAGTAGGGCTGCCACAAACAATTATTTTGATAGTCGACTAGTCACCGATTATTTTTGCGATTAGTCGACTAATTAGATCATCGTCCATTGGACGTAAAACGTACAGCTTATTGCACCAGCAGCATCTGCTCT